TGTAACGAAACCTGCCTAATCAATGCTAAAAACCATGAGCATGTCAACAAGCATTTAGCTCAATAATAAAACAGCGCGTTCCTTCACCACGCTTCCACATTCATCAATTCATTCCGCTTTTTTCCGCTCTCCTTAATCTATTTGAGGTTTACTTTAACGCAAAATTTATCGTGCGTTGACGATATAACGAAGATTGTATGAGGATAGCGGAGAGCTCGTCGTTTCTTTGAATTTAACCAAGTGCAAACTTTCCCACAACTATTGTGTTTAAACAGTCTCTGTCTGTTTGGTAGCAAAACATTTGGCCGTAGTTTTAAACCTGCTTCGTCTAAAAGCCAAGTCGTCTCTCACAAGTTTTTCGCGTTTACCCGAACTCTTGCTTTTAATACATATATTTGTGACCTGTTTATCAAATAATACCAACCATTTTCTTAAAAAAGATAAGGTGGAAAATTTACAGTCAAAAACGATTAAATATTTACTACCTGAATTAAAACAGCTGTCTTTCGGGATCCTGAATATTCTAATTATCATTTGCTAGATTTATGTGACTTATGCTTGGACCTTCCATCTATGGAAGACCAAACAGCTCTTTATTTAGTGTTCTTAGTTCAGAATTCATTGTCCCTAATTCTCATTTCTTCATCTGTTGTCGTATTTCGACATATATATACTAAAATTAACATTCGTATCTTAAAATCAATATTTGTTTTACAAATCAGACACTTATTATATCAGATTTGTAAATTATTGTATCTTAGTTAAATTTAATTGTATTTTAATATGAAGATAAAATTTATGTGCCAGAATATAATTTACATTTTTGAAAAGGAAAAAGAAAATAGTTTCCAGTAGTGATGGATGAAATGCATCACCGGAGAGTTTTCTTCTGTCGATCTTTGACTATATTAATTATTTCCTGGCACATTCATGATTACATAATTTAGAAGAGATAAAACCCTCTTTCGTTTGAGCAAAGAAATATGTGGCTATCAGATAAAAACCTAATTACTAAAAATAGACTACTTTCAATTTATTCCATTTATCGAAGTCTCGGATTAGCCATATCCACGCACGTGATTTCACTACAATTACGGTCATCCAGCAATTTTTCTTATTGTATGCTGGCTTGATTCCCCGTATTTGTCTGGTAAGCCGACTTATTGTATACAAGGTTAATTTCTGCATTTGACAGTCAGCCACTAGCGTCCTCTGTAGTCAAAATATTCAGATTAGATGAATTTGGAGAAATATTTTTGGACAATGATTTTGCAAGATTGGTATTTGGATATTTGTTGTTCGAGGTTTGGTTTCCGTTATATATTTCTGATGAAATGTAAATGTAATTTTTTGATTTTCTAAAATAAATTTTATCTTTATATTAAGATACATGTAAATTAAACAAAGATACAATTTACAAACCTTGTATGACAAATGTCTGATTTATAAAACATATATTGATTTTAAGAGGCAAATAATTTGCGACAAATGTTAATTTTAGTATACAAATGTCGAAATACGACAACAAATGAAGAAATAAGAATTAAGCCTTAATTAAGGACTATGAATTCAGGACTAAGAATTAAGAAAACTGAATAAAGATCTGTTTGGTCTTCCATATCCATCGTGTGAGTAAAGTATCGTTGATGTTTTACTTTTACTTTGTATTCAATAGCTTCTTGCCGTCCGTTTATCCCTTTTCGTATATGCATATAACGTATAACAGCTCATTAGAATGACGTAGAGCATGTACAAAAAGGAAAGAAGAAATATTATTATTTTATTTGTCTAAGACATATAAATATGGCAGTACGCAATGTTTATACCCTAGTGCAAACTTTGAATGATCATAGCATAAGTTAGAAATGGGTGATTTGAATAAATTTACGACCAAAATGATTTTAATGACAACTTGCATATCAATTAATTGGGGATTAAACAAAGGTGGCCGATTGTAGCTTAATTTATTTTATTTATTTAGTTTCTGAAACCAGGGTGTGTGTGTGTGTGGGGGGGGGGGGCGAATGGTTAGCGCGTGCGCGTTGTATCATAAGGTCTGTCATTGAGACAACGGGCGTGATTTCGATTCCCTTGTAGGGAGTACGGTCGCCTGTCCAACTTCGAGGGTTTTTTCCGGGTCCTCCGGTTTTCTCCCGCTGCTAAAGACCCCTACGCGCAAGAGAATTATTGAAATAAAATAAAATATGTTAGTCCCGAAATGACCTTGTTTGTTTCGAGAGTGGGCGTTAAACCCCATTTCTCTCTCTCTTTCTGAAACCAGGCATACTTTCCTAATTTTTGCTTTGGCTTCACAAATAATCATGTGTCAGCCCGAATATCGTCCCTAATCATAGATTTTGACGTCTAACAGTCTGCTTCTGACGTATAAGATATGAAACTGTCAAAATTTTCAGAATAAAATATTTCTTTTCCTAACAAGATAGAGATACCTATAATAAAAGCTTGTCTACGCCTCGTAAACTATATACAAGGGATATCCCAGTAGCCTATATCCAAAATAGTTCTAACTATACTTTATCGTGAAAAAGGTGGAGTATAATTACTAGGACTTAGTTTTAGCGAAGATAAATAAAGAACTAAATACAACTGAATTGAATTAAACATACATGTCTTTTATTACACAGATTATCTTACGAAAAGATTGACGCGATTTTTACAGTCTTTGAATCCTCTCCGATAATAATCTGAGAAGCACCATTAATAAATACGAACAGCTTATTACAGCCACCACATAACAATTTATAGGTTATATCAAGGGTTTACAGCCATACATTAATAATAATTCTGTTATGCTCGGTTGTTGAATTAGATTAGAACAACGGTTTTTAAATAAAAATTAGTATATATTTGTGACTTTTGAGATATACATGGGGCGTATCGTCCGCTTCCAACGAGGGTGATATCGCAGACTGTCTTATTGCGCCTTTAATGCATGTCTGGGGCCGATCTCCTATCATCTGTGATTATTGTGTCTCGTACTAAGCATTATATTCTACATTTACCCTTCCATAAGAATTATATTTTCATTTTATGTTTATGCTCCTTTCTCCGCGTCTCGGGGTTGGGAGACCAATGGTTGAACGGGTGCTCTTTAGATCATAAGGTCTGTCATTTCGAATCCACGCATGCACATGACAAGGAGTAGGGTCGCCTGACCAACCTCGTCGGTTTTCTCTGTTTCCTCCGGCTGTCTCCCACTTCTAAAGACCCCTAAAGCGAATTATTAAAATAAATTTGAATCATATGTAGCCTAAGTGCCGAAATTACCTATTGTGTGTCGAGTGGACGTTAATCCAAACCCCTCCCACTCTTTCTCCTCACCTGATTATATCGAATGAGGGTGCAACCACATATAACACAGCTAAAAAAATTATTAAATGTTTTATGAAAGATGTTAAAGAAAGGAGTTTATTGTCATAAAATTCCATATTGTACATTTCTCTTTTTATACTTTCACATATCTGTTGTTTCATCTCGAAGAATCCACCAATAGCAATGGAATCTTGTAGTAAACACTTTTTTTTTGCTTTTAGAATACAGATGGACCTTTTTGAAAAACAGTTTGTAGCACTATAAAGATCCGATAGGGATAATGTTGCAATATTATCGCTTATATCACCGTTTCTTCAGATGATATCGTAATGTTTAGCTCCATTTAAAAGATGCATCGAGAAAAGGTGTAATTTAGTCTTTTAGTAGTTTATACTCACTGAACTTTTTGTTGTTACAGATCGCAGTATAATGATTAAAAAAAACCTAGAGAGACCAAAGAAGTCTAGAAGACAATCAACGTTCAGAAGTCGCGTTAACTTCAAAAAACCTTGTGCTTAAGAAGCAAGGATCTACACGGTGTTGCTGATGTTAGTTTTAGCTTGTAACCGAAGGTTTAGGTGCTGTTTTCGTTTTATTGATGTAAATCTATTCTTAAAATTGTTTAATTCTTGTGTGTATAAGAAGCAGTATTTTGTCTTTAAGTGTGTAGTAGTTGAACAAACGAGGATTAGAGTTGAAACTGTTATGCCAATTCTAAACGCCGAGTTATTATTGGGACCTTTTGAAGCCCAGTTCCATATGTTTAAGCAAGTCTTATTGGCCTTATGTAATGGAGATGTTTCCGATGATTCTCAGTAAACAATGTCTGGTAAATTAGAGGTTTGGCCAACTGCCGAACTACAATCATGTTCTACTATCGTACGGTACAAATATACTACAGCGGTAATATTGTAAATTGGTCTTGGCTGCCATTTCTAATACAAGTTTTTCTGTATAAAATCTTGTCGCTTGGGTTTTGCGATTGTTGTACTAATTTATTTTTCACTGTGGAGAAAGTGCGCATATTACGTTTCCCTCCGTGTATCAACGGGAAAGGATTGCACTTAACGGTAAAACAAAACAAATGATGTAAACTGAGAACATGTGTTAAGCACAGCCATTTTAAATCCCGGAACCAATCCCTTAATACAGTTCAAAGTTCCATGACCTTCCCCATGTTATCGCATACTGACCCGTGTTTCCTTTAGATCTACATGTATTTCAATCACCTATTCCAAATACTGTACGTAATAAATGCTGGGGATAATATAGGGAACATAAAATCCATTAAACGAAAGACAAAATGGAGTAAATAGTAGGTGGAATTCATAAGTTAGTATTTATCAAAATAACGACAATCAATAATGAAGTGGCATCAGATGTCCAATGAAGAGTATGCATATTCAGCAGATATTCAATTACAGTTACATATTTATTAGCCCTCACTTGCCGTTGATGGATTCTATCCAATCCTTCCACTGTACTATGATGGGTTTTTGTTCTTATGCTTACTTGTTTTTCAAAGTATGATATTACCATGGTAAATAACATAATTTTAATTGTATATCATCTCAAAATCTCCGATAAGACAGAAAGAAAATAGATTTATTGTATATACAGTTGAAGGAATGAACTGAATATGCTTTAGGAATAATACGTATACAGTGTGGGCCTACTATGGATTCTATGTGGTAAAAAGGGGAAACGCATCTAAAATTGACAAAACAAAACAATTTTCAGAAAATATCTTTGTATTTCGAAAACATTAAATTATAGACAGCAGTATTCCATGATAGTCGGTTGGTGTTTATGAAAAGCTTGGATTATTATATATTACAACAGATATATAAATACAGTACACATAAGCCTATATAAACTAGAAATCGTTTCCGAAAAAGAATATTACAAACAGATTTTCATTTTAAAAATTTGCTGAATATGGATTTGTAGAACTAATGTCATTACATTAATATATCGGCTGTTATCTACCATAGTAATATCTATACATAACTTTTGAAATATTCTTAAACAATTATGATCAGCTTTTAAATCAATTTTCTAATGTGCGACCGGCTTTAATCGGTCACCTGTGTTCTTATTTGTCTTGCTAATAATGATACAATAAAGGTACAATAATTAATAATGATGATGATCACGTTTATTTTTTACAAGGAAATAGTAAGGCTTGGAGATCGACCCCTGTTAAAGGCCTGAACAAAAATATACTTTTCATCAGATGAAAATATTTAAAACTCTTCTTCGTAAGTACAATCACAGAATGACCTTGCTAATTTAAATATTCACAACTCTGTCCTAACTAATATCATTCTAATATCAATATGTCAAAAATAATCTGAGTATTTTGATTTCATCTTTTGATTTTTTATTTGAAAAGTAGTTCAGTTTATTAATAACTACTTCATCTTAAATAATCCAACAAAATTTACAATGTCTTTACAAAATGTACACTAGTTAGACGCAATAGCCCTGAGATTAGTGACAAGTTTATTATATTACATAGACTTACTACAGACAATAGGGCTAAATAGAGAGCTTTTCTTTATCTACAATTTCTTCAATTTAAAAAAGACATTTTGCCCAAGACGGGCTAGAATCTAGACAATACTCGAAAATTTATGGTTAATAAAGGTGCTAAAATAAAGAGCAATCAATTTCCACTTTTCTATCAAAGGGCCAGTCAGTTGGGCGAAAACACCAACCGAGTATCAAACAAATGGAACACAAGTTTCGATTGGTTAAGGCACAGTACATTTTTGCCATATTTCTACCGAGTATGTCCTAGCATAAGTGTGTAGAACATTACACGAAAATTTATTTTCTGTGTGGGAAAAAATGTATTGCGTATAAACTTTTGCGATGAAAGTTTGCGTATATGAAATCTAGATGACTTTATTTGCCAATCAGTACGGTGATTAACCAATCGAAACTTAAGGAAATGTCTGAAATCTTTAATATTTTGTATTTGATAAATAAGAATAGACTACATGTATTTTAGTATGCTTTTCAATACTGAATATGAAGCGTATAATAAAATCTAATAAAGTTCTCTGTGTGAGTGTGATCTAGAAGACTTGATACCACTTTCTATTCGAAGGATTAGTAACCATTATTTTCTCTGGGAGTTCACTTTATCTAAACAACGTCCTATACCAACTAAGTCAAAATATTGCACGATTTTGAGTAGAATTTTTCAAGAGTTTTATAGAGATATAGCACTGTCTACTTCAAAATACATAGACTAACATTTATTTCAAGGCATGATTTTATTTTGCTACAAAGTGGATTTAAGCCACACAATTTACTACATCTATATAAATAAAGAAAAAAAAGAGAAAAACTAATGACTTTAAGAACATGGTCCTACGTTTTGTTAAATACAGAACATCTACATTACAGGTATATTGTGGCGATGAAATTCAAACATGAGTTGTGGGGAAATATAGAATGAAAAATGAAGCCGACATATTTTAAAATGGATGACATGATATTAAAAGAATAAATATAATGATATGATGTGTCCATACATGCACCAATAAAATATGACGAAACAATTTTGAATAATATGACATTAAAATTACAATATTTCACAGAAATGGTGAAAAAATGATCAGACATATTGTTTGCTGGACGGCATGGAGTAAATGTGTGATAGTTTGTGATTGGCTCATTTCAATAGATCATCGTCCAATAAAAAATGTCTACACTACTATTTCAGTTCTGCTCCCAGAATTCCACTTTGATTACTTTGACGTATAGTCCATCACAGTGTTTGTATGTGTGGGGGTAATTTAAATACACAACCACGGTAGTTTTACTGAGTGTTTTTGTCCGAGACACAAAAAATAAATAACTATATTCTATCTTCTTTATAAATACACATCCCCCCCCCCCATTTCTACACACAGAGCAACAATCGGCACTTTGCATTGTAATCTGTTTTCACTCATTCATTCACACGCACACAAATAACAAAATACAATCTTATCTATCTGTTTGTAAGAGAGGTTTTGTTGTAAGTTCTAAAGATAACCGTTTTTCAGTCTGTTGATTTCTGTCTCTATATTCGCGCAATTTGCGTTTGGTTCTCTGTCTTCGACCCTCTTTACGTCTCCCGCGTTTCGAGTGATCGTGACGTTTCGCCCGATGTCGGTGTCGATGGCGACGTTTATTTGATTGTTTCCGCCTTCTCTTACGTGCACGTTCACAACGCTTTTTATGTTTACTGTAGTTTTTAATCATTTCGTCTAATAAGTCACAGAAACGCTTACACCTTCCTTGGTATTTTTCTTGATTTTTATAAATCTTTTGCAATTTAGAACACCAGCGGCGCCGACGACGACGTCGCTCATTTTTTCTCTTTTTAGCTGGATCAGGAGTCTTTGTATTACGCCCCACTAACTTAATAGTTCCAGTTCTAATCAACCTCGCACTTTCTTGTTTAGCTCTATACATTGATTGGGGCGGCACTTGTACCGGCAAGAATTGTGACATGGCTTGAGAATTCCTAGCATATAGTCCCGGTTTCATTCGACCATCTCGCTCTATGCCTAGATAGAATTTTTTACGCTTTTCCTTATGACTGGCATGATAATATACATTATAGTTGTGGATATTCCTAAATCCTTCAGAAAAAGCACAATCCGGCGTAACATTTCTCTGTAAAATAAAAAGATATACAAATGGTTAAATAATTGCAGATTAAATTAAAATGTACGATATAAAACATAATCTTTTGTAATTCTTTATACTGGCATATAATTTGCTTCTGGAAGTAGTGGAAGGCTCAATGCTGTTATATAAATGACCAGTATACCACTGTGCGGTAGCAGTATAGGGCGGTAATTACAGTAGTCATTATACAAGAACTGGATTGTTTCAATGGCATCATTTCTATGGAATACAATTACTGTTTATTAATGAGCAAAATTTCCACTAGAATTCGCTGATCTCTCAAGCTGAAACGCCGCTCGGGAATAAGCTGTAATTGCATACTATAGACTAAATTTTGAGCCAGTTTCGTGTCGGACATTTTCTGCGGATGTATCGAAAGCTGTATACACTCTGAAATAGCAATGGGCGATTCAGAAGAGAACCCTCCACCCCCACCTCCCGTCCTGGTGCCCTCTACACCCCATCTGTTTAACATGGATAAAAGATATATAAATATTACTCACACTAGCATATATATGGCTTCTATTGTCCATACACAGGAAGAGATTACTAACAACACCTTTAATAGCTATCGTATCTTTAGGTTTTTGGCCATGCGTAGAATTCGTTACGTAGGATATCAACATAATAATACCTGCAAAAAAATAAAATAAAAATAAAATTAAATATAAAATAAGATAAACCTAATGGTATATATTTCTTGGCGAACGATTGGGCTCTCTGTCGCCAGGTGACTGAATAATTACCGCAAGTGAAGATGACGTCATAGAGGGTATGTTACATACATTCTCCATTATTATTCAAAAGTCTAAAATAGTTTTATATACGTGGCAATCTAACTAGCTTACAATTATGCTTCGTTTCTTTTGGTCTGATTTTGAAACCACGTTGTTATCAAACCAACTTTCTATCATGTGTATTAATTAGTCATTTAGGTATTAAAATCTACATAATTCACCATAAAACAACGTCTTATATACTAGTACAGACAATTTTCTTAACCGATAAGACACGGTGATCTGAGTACTGTCTTCAAAGAAAATACATGTATGATGTCAATATTGTTCTTAACAAGACTAATTACGGGTCCATATATGAATCAAAATAGATGGGTGTTAAAAATCGTAGGGGAGGGGTTGGGGGTAATCTAAGCTCCATGACAACGGTAAATAGAGATATAGAGACAATTTAACAGTATCAGATATCAAATAATAAGCACCCTGACCCTAACTGATAAAGGTCATCGTCGACGTATTTATATACATCTTTGTACAAAGACCACAAATTTTATCAGTATGCACCTTGTAGTAACATTCCCTTAATTTACAACATGTTGAAGGCAGGTTGTATTAGGTTTCTTGTTTATTGTCATGTTAATTCAGGAATCAATTACTCTAAATAAACCATCCCGACCAAAGGTTACTACAACTTGCGATTTGTTTTATCTGAGCAAGCATGAACCTACGTAATTTTGATAGGTCAGTTTCTTCAGACGGATATGCAATATTCAGCATAAAATAATAAAAAAGGCGTGTCTTCGTGTTAATATTTGTTAAACATATCCGTATATCTTATGAAACAATACAAAGCTAAATGTTCCTACGACGCACCTCCTAATTTCTTATTATACATGTACGCCTACATGTGATCCTTTCTAAATATATCTGATTCAGCAAATGTCGCGAAAGATATTTTAATGGATTGGTTTCAAAAATTGACCTTAACCTATCCCAATATAATTATGATGATGGGCACACGTAAGATCAATATAAATGTCAGTGAAAGACGTGTGCTGTTTTAAACCTGATTGATGAGATATATCTTAAAACCGAATGTTTAATTTATCATAGTAATATGTAGACTGAACTGTATGTCTGTCTATATATGAACTGATTGATTGACAGGTGTAGATGACAGCTTTTATATCTATACTAATATACCCCATCAAATCTTATGATAGGATTACGTTGCCCATACCTATCATACACCTATCATATTATCAGATCTATATAACTGTTGACTTCAAAATTTGAATAATTTAATAGGACAATAAATATCTCGCGAAATAAAACAGGTATTATAGATCCGCTATCTTCGTCAACTCCTAGTGAACAATATTGAAACCAACAGCTAGTTTAACGGAGGCAAGGGATTGGTTAAATTAATTTGTCTTCGGGGGTAAGAATCGAAATGGTTTAAAAGAGAAAGGGAAATGGGGTTTAACGTCCACTCGACACAAACTAGGTCATTTCGGAACTAACACATGGTTCAATTTTATTTCAATAATTCGCTTGCGTGTAGGGGTCTTTAGCAGTGGGAGGAAACCGGAGGACCTAGAGAAAACCCACGAGGTTGGACAACCGCGGAAACGAAACCACGCCAGTTGACTCAATGACAGACCTTATGATACAGCGCGCACGTACTAACCATTCGGCCATTCAACCCCTCGAAATGGTTTTAACGTCGTCATTACAAAAAAGGCGGGTGGGGTTTAAACATGGTAGTCTACAACTTTAGTTAGATCTATTTCATAAGGCCAACTTCACAAGATGTAAATAGGGCTAGCGCTAATCCCAACCCTAACCCTATCTCTAGTCCAAATTCTTAAACCAAACCTACAATCTCGCCAACAATCACGTGTCCTAACCTTATTTACAGCTCATCGACCTTGGCGAAATCTTGAGTTGGCCTTCAGAATTAGATCTAGTCCTACGACTTTCCAGTTAGCCACTTGAACTGAATAGCTATTGTTAGCATTCAAAATATATACATCTCAACGTTGTATGGAATAAAAATCCCAAATGAATTCAAATGTGTCTTACATTAATATTCGATTATCAGTTTAATGGCCATGTAATTTGACCCGCCGATATCATAATCAAAAGAATTAATATTCATGATGACCTATCACCCCAATGAATAAATTAATTGGCTTCTGTGTGTATAGGCTTACAAAACAAGATATATGTGTCTCAAAGATTGAATAAGCAACCAATATAAGTACTAATCATGGTGATAATCAACAAAAACACGAAATTTTATTCCGTAAGATCTATATTTAGGTGCATATATACCACCGACCATTTATCAAACCCCTTAATTATCTGAAATCTACAGTTGAATATACACAGTAACGTTATTTTACCAGTTTTACCCCCTGTTTACGAAGTTCAAATTATACTTTCTTTGATTTTTTACGAGTAAATAGCAAGATGGCGATGTTCAGTCTATTGGAATTACGTTTTGTGGTTGTATTTAATAAAGAATACTCTTTCAAGTAAGTAGAATCATATATAATTGATATATCTAAACAAAATTTTCCAAAAAAGTGACGATACGTCATTTTAAGTAAAAAAACTGGTTGGATAATAGTGTAGAATTTTCTCCCGTTTTCCCAGTAAGGAATCATTCGAAAATTGTAGTTTTGCCTTTCAGCCGCCCCAGCCTACAATCCTTTAATACCTCCTACATAATTTTAAAGTGACAGTTAATGGTTTTGACAGATTAACTAAAGATTAGTTTTGATGTGATTTGACATACGAATACGTTTTACAACTTCCTTTTGAATTATTACAATGCCCAAAATCACGATGTCAGTTCGCACCATGTCGATAATGGTATAAGTCTTCGCGGAAGGATTTTTACCTGAGGTACATTTAATTGAAGTACAGAATAGCAAAGCCGTATAAACAATGTTCGTATACCTCCAATATTATCGTTTATAACAGAAAGTGATTGTCATACTGAAAACTAATCTGTTCAATACCCTACAAATCCCAAACCCTACACGATTATAATATGTACACCAAATATTATCTAAATTTAAATATCTTTGATATGGGTGGTCAGTGTGTAAACGATATCGCGGATTTAAGAGGAGTGAAAGGACGTCTGTAATTGAGCAATAAATCCGTTACTAATCGTACATAAATCATATGTTGACCCTTACGATTTAGATATATGTAATTCTCTATGACAATAATATACACTATCCTTTGATTGCTGTTAGTATAGAAGTCTATAAGCCGTTATAGAGTTGCATAGTCGCGTTCTATATGGCAAAGAACGGTCAAAACCCGTGATTAAGGTGTTTAAGCCATCAAAATCTTTGAAGAGCTGTTTACTTTCGTCAGTTTCCAATCCATGGCTTTTTTTTCTAGCGTAATATATTGTATTCAGAATTGTGTATTGAACTGAATTTTTTCTCCAAATCAACAAATATTTATTTATAGGGAATTTTAACATATAATATTTAAGGCAAGTCGAGACTTTGTTTGTCAACTGACAAAGCACCGGCAATTAGCCAAATAATTCCTTTGTTAAACACTAACTGTAGTTATTGTATACGGTGTAAGCTATACATAGTACATACTACCTATAGGACATATAATGTTGTCTCACCTATGGTTAATACAAATAAATCAAAGCGGAAGGTCGTACATGAATATTATAATTTAAAAAGATATACTTATATGTTTTTGTTAACCAGATATCAATTCAAAATGGCGCTCATATATTCAATATAGGTTACTGTCTAAAATGAATTACATAACGAATCTATGTTGTTCCAATATCGATGCTATAATCTGTAATTACTTTCTTATCAGAGCTAAACATTCTTAATATGGTATAGTTCCAAATAAAGGATTAGTGTAGGGGTTTGGACGATCCACAACTTTCTAATTTTGCCACATATCAAATTTAGTCAAATATCATTTATTAATCCTTAAGATACAATGACAACTGTTCCATCTAAAAAAAATACACCCCGTCCCTATAAACAGTAACATTAGTTACAGAAAATATGTTTATACCTTTAAAATAAAATGATAATTGTTTCGTGAAAGAACAAACAACATTTACACTTTGTAGAAACGCGTAACTGAGTTGCTTACAGAGTTATCATATATAGGTTATGCTATCAAAGGACTTCAAGGTATGGTTGGTTCACATTTATACACGCGATTCAACTTGATTCTTTTATTGGAAGCAGTTTCCCGATCTGGTTCGAATATAACGAAACCCAGTTCTCTTAAACTCATCGAACTATGGCCGTCTGCTTCTTATCAGGTGCTATGAACATCAGTTTTTACTTATCCAGCTAAAACAAATTTTATATCAGTTATGTCTTTTGATATAAGTAAAAGCAAGTTTATGTAACATCTCTTGCTTACCAAAGACTAAATGTTTTTTCATGCTTTTTAAAAATAAATCCAGATGCATCCTAATCTGAAAAACGTGCCGAGACACCTTCAAGAGACGTGTTGGTTTATATAAATTTCTTGTAAATATATGCATGTAATGTTTAAGTGCATAAGAATGTTATTTACATTAATATGCCTACATTTATGTATCTTACAATGCATTAGTCGAGCTTGATATTTGCTTAGTAATATGAATTTTTTTATATGTATATTATACGGTCTCGCATCTATTGAGATTTTAAGAAATTAATACAAATTAAAAATTTCCTTGCAGGCTACACCAGTTACACTTAATAAGTTAGAAAACAGTGTTTTGTGGTATTTTTCCTTTATTCTCGCAAGAAGACATTTTGGTTTTAAATTTCTAAAGATACTTTTCGAATCAATTTGTGATATTTTCATCGAAAACCCTATTACTGTAGAACCCGTT